GTCTGCCTTACGCACGTTGAGAACTGTAGGGCGGAACTGATTGCAAGGGCGCGGAAGAACATGGTCCCCGGCGAAGACCTGGAAGCAAGGTTTAAAGGGGATATTCGACGGTGGACTTTGGCGGGGCTGAAGCAGTTCGACATGTACAGACTTATTTCCGAGCTTGTGAAGCCCCTGCAGCTTGGAGAGCCCGGTCGGCAGAAGGTGAGAGAATAATGGCTTTGTGTTTTTGTCTTTGGTGCATGCACTTCTCCGGGTGTTCGTGAAAATTTAAGTTTCCCCGCCCTGCGGCACGTGCAGCTGGGGCTTACGAACACTGCTTGCTGGCTGGAGCAGTGGTCGGGCCTTGGCGTCTTTTCGTGCGAGTACTTGGGAACGTGCCGGGCATCCAATAAGAGTTCGACGACCGCCCCCTTTCCTGGCATACCGACGCCACGTTTGCGACAATGTTATTGCAGATCAGGAACATGGTCAGGCAGGTGCAGCGCGAATGCTGGTCTACACCGACCGACGCCCTAGACTTGGTGTCTGAGTTGAAAGACATGGCCGGCTGCTACGTGAAGTATGACACGGATGGGCTGCATCGACTGAAACACGTGTTTTGGTCCACCGGCCAGCAACAGGTCTTCGCCCGCCAGTGGGGCGGGATCGTTCTTCAAGACAACACTGCTCTGACCAACAGGTGTTCTTTCCCTGCTTTGCTGCTATCTGTTGCTATCCCTAACCCCTACTCCACAACCCATACTCGGCGCGTCTGTAGTGTAGGGTCCGAAAGATGGAAGACCGGCACGTCGGCCCCTTCGTATCCCCATGAGACTGACAGAGTACTTGTCCTTATTCGCCTTATTTTTGCCACTGGTAAGATGAGTGATGAACACCCTGTTCGATTGCGCTTTATACAACCCCGTGCTTTTGCATCGCGTTCGTGCAGATATGGCATGCATTTCATGCTGTTCATCGGAGTCGACTCGGAGAACAAAACGGTCGTCTTTGCGCAGGGGTTCTTTTCCGACCAGTCGTCCGACACCTATCAGTGGGCTTTGAAGCACTACTGCACAATCTGCGGGGGGCAACCAGAGGTGGGCTGGCGTTGTTTTGCGCGTTGTCACATTATTTATCGTGAGTTGTTACCCAACCTACTTCATCTGTTTCGTGTTCGCCGAGCGTGTTCTCTGATTGCGCATTTTGCTTTGAAGGGTTGCGATCATCATGATTTTTTTTCTGCACAGCATTGCACTTGGTTGGATGCTGCTGTCCTGTTCGAAGCGTGTATTCCATGTGAAGCTCTCTTTTTCTGCATCACTAACCGTTGAAGGTGATCATTACGGACGCGGACGCTGGCATGACGCACGCTGTAGAAACCTTTCTGCCTAGCACCACTGTGCACTTGTATTGTCTGTGGCACGTGATGAAAAACGTGAGGAAGAACTGCGCAAGGGCTTTGGGCAAGAAGGCAAGCCGCTTCTACAGGCTATTGCACGCTGCGGCCTTCGCTGCTACGGAAGAGGTGAGTACCCTTCGAGCTCGGCTGGGCAAAAGCGAGGACACCAACCCGTTGGGCTCCGTCCGTATGTTGATCAATTTCAAGGGTCGCGCGCTGTCCTCGGGTATACACCTTCGCCACCAACCACGCTCTTTCGACGGTGTTTTGCAGGCATGCTCGGACGCTTGGTCTGAGATTTTTCGTCACGTGAAGGGCTCCGACTGCGAAGAATACGTCACTGGGCACCTCTTGCGGTGAGGCGTGTTGGATGCGTACGGAAGTGTATTTCATCACATTGTGGCGGCATGAGAGCGTGCGGATGACAGTTGACTCTCTTGGTTTGCCCCCCGTACGTGTTGCCCGACATGTTTTGTCGGTCGAGTATGAGCAAGCCCTTGCCACGCCCCTAACAAGATGCTTCAATTTTCCTGCCAACGCATGTTTCAGGCACCACCGGCACTGGTCACGCTGCTTTTTCCCGACGACTATGACTCTCAACATGACAGCGACACAGAGGGTGGAGGGGATGTTCAGCGTGTTGAAGAAAGGGCGGATTGTGAACCGCCGTTGTTCTCTGGTTAGGGTGAAAGCGGAGCTGGAGAAACGGATCGCAGGTTTCACTTTGGCGTCAAACCTGTGAGTGGCTTCGCCGTCGTTGGATTTCCCAAAGTTCCTCTACATACTTGCTGGGCATCCTCTGCCCCCCCTCCTCTTACCTCGCAATATCACATTTCCGCCCATGTCGTCTCAACGATCAGACTGAGCACCAAGGCCCCCAGCCTTGGCAGGCAGCACATCGACGACCACGTGCTCAAGACAGCCGAACATGTCTTCAGACAACTGACCGATGTTGGAGCCAGCACGTACGCCGTTAATGTGAGTTAAGAAACCCGTCACTCACATGTTTCCGTCGTTTCGCTGTCTGTGGTAGAATGTTTCAAGTACCTCGCCTGGGTAGAGGTAGAGTCTCCACCACCTGAGACGCGTGTTTTCACCGCTCCTCCACTAATTTCGAGATTTCGGGGGGATGATCCAAGGTACAAGGTGGATTGCAGGGTTCCCCGGACTAGATTTTCGGACGCAAACTTCTTTTGATTCACCGTTCTACTTTTTGCCCCTTGCCCCATGACGCGGTCACGCACGTTCCAGGAGATGGTGGCAGAGATGCGTGCGAGTGCAGCGTATGACACGGCGGTTCTGACTGACAAGCAGGCGGATGACGCGGCGTGCCACGACTGTCTTGACGGCTTGGCCGAGCGGGGGGGGAGGACGGAGGGTTATTGTGCAGACGTGCCAGCGGAAGCGTTTGAGGGTAGCCACGATCCGGACATCACCATGTACGGAACGACGTCCTTGCCGTCATTCGCTGAGCTTGTTCGTAATGTGGGCATTGAAGCGGTCGTGCAAGTACAATACAAGTATCCTAGAACTGCTCGTAGGGGAAAGGTGAGCCACATTGTCGTGGTTGGGCCTAAGGGATTCCAGCTGTGCACGTGCTTAAAGCTTATGAGGTGTGGGTTGCCCTGCAGTCATGTGTTCGCCGCACTGGTGACAAGGCTCGACCGGGCGAGCGATTTCATTGGCGCGTCGATCCACCCTCGTTGGCGAAAGTCTGTTGTGGAATGGAGTCTACGGAATGTCGCACTAGGAACCTTCGATGGCCACGAGACCTTCACGGGTGGTTTCACGGAAGATTTTGGTGGGGGTGATTTTGATGGGGATAGCCAGGACACCCTCAACACAAGTGTAGCATACACACGCAAGAAGGCTTACGTTGACTATATCGCGATGGCCCAGCAGTGGGCGAATCAAGCGGCAGCGACCTTAGATGGGACCCCTGCCGCGTACCAAGCATATTGCGCAATGGTAGAAAGGCAGCGACATGAAGTTCAAGCGCTTCTGCGGGGCCCAGGGCCTAGTGACGGGTTGGCTGGTCTAGGTAACCCACCCATTGCCCTCCCCAATGATAGGAAGGAAACTAGGCACAAGGATGCTGCTGGCACGGAAGGAGGGCGCCCTAAGAAGAAGTCAAAGGTCGAAAAAGTTGTAGCCTTAATACAGAGTGGTAAGATGTAGCCGTGCGTGCGCGTGATGCCAACTTTTGTCCGACGTGGAACACTGGCGGCGTTGTGTTTCTGAGGAAGATGTTGGTGCACTGCTGTGCTCCAGCTGGCCATGGTCTTTCTAGCGTAGCAGTTGCTGTTGAATAGTCTCTCTCATTTGCAGTTTGGTTTCTTTGGTGGACTGCCAATATATATCTTGGCAGGGTGTTGAGAAGATAGAGAACCTGGTGATGGATGATTTCGTGATACGGTTGTTTTGGTATGAATGACAGTGCCCTCTTTTCTTTTTTGTCTTTGTTAAAATGCAAATGAACCTAGGTTGCGTGACTCGGGTTCAAAAGTATCGTGAAGACCCCTTGCGAAGACGGATGCGAAGACGGCAGCCGGCGGGCTGTGACGTCTATGTTGAGGGTGCTTGTCTTGCGCATGGGGCACTGCTGTACGCACGCACTTCGAACTCCGCGACAAATAACATACATACGTGTGTATGCACGGCAGTCAGGGTATGTGCGGACATGATCTCGGGATTGTAGGTAATCGCCACTCAATAAAATGGTAAGAGCGCGACAAATACATTGACACTTACTTTGCACAGACACGGGCACACGGCCACCCACCCACAAACAGCAGTGTCACCTTCATTTCAATACTGAAACGCTACCCCACATACAACGAGCAAAGAAGAATACAGTCAAGACGTGGCACGTTTTCAGGGAACTCTACTTGTAGTCATAACTTGTAGGCATCGACTGCTGGTGGTTGGCACCGCCGCAGCTTTCTTCTCTATGTTCTCTACAATAACGCCGCTGCTGCAGCACACACACTGAAGCGATTTGATTCGAGGCGGATACCGGTCCTTGAATGCTGAAAGTTCGGTCGTCACTCCCCGGAGCGATGTACTTATGATACTGCTGCTTGTGGCGACGGTTGCTCTACGTCGGCGCAGAACTCGGCGTGTCTGTCGGGACAGCGCGCTGCGTGCCTAACATGCCTAACATGAAACATGCCTCCTGTCATATTCCAGAAAATGAGGGTTTTTTATCCCCGGGTCGCGTTTTTTAAACGAGCCCCCCGGGTCGCGTTTACTGGCTCCCCTCCTGGCATGTCTCACAAGGTCATTCCCATTTGCGATATACGAACCCGCCAGCATCGGTAATCCGACCAATCTACCTCCACCCACGAATACCCTCCCTTGGTTGCTCACGCCGCCAGTGACTAACCATCCGTGCGTCGACAGTTTATCCGGAAAAGCATCGAAAACAACGCAAATCAAAACAAGGGGAAACCCACCATTGGATCAAAACACCTCCCGAAACTCACCGCCTTTACGCCAGTCATATCACGAAAGATTCCAACGGCTGTACTACAATATCAAGGCAAAACACTTTTTATCATATCACTGCCCCAGGGCTCACTCGACACGCCACGCGTGGGTGACTTCATAAGATCCAACTTTGAGCAGCAAAAAAACAAAGCGATCATGTCCCCACCACACCTTGGCGAGGCCATACGATACACTTAGACAAACAACCACTAACAAGCACCTGATTCTACTGTACTGTCTGCATTCCAAACGAAAACACTGATGATCTACGCCTTATGCCCTCCCTTGCGCAACGAGCTGCCTTGTAGTTAAGGACAACATCACGTGCCCTCTCTGGTGTGCCAACGCGCTCTCTCTACTCACCCTGTGCAGGCGTGTTTAAAATGTTAGGTGGGGTTATCCACCAGACTACTCAGTGGGCTGACTGCCCTAGAAGTACATACACACAACAATCATCCAGAAGTCGCTGAAAAAAACAGATACATGATACAGCATGCCTCCGGCCGTGGAAATACGACCGAATCCACTTTCTCGACCCCTGGTCGCCCGCACCGCGTGGCACATCTTTCAGCAGTCAAACACCTGGTCATATTCCAACTCAAACATGAATGGACGCGATACCTCCCCACGCGACTTGACACTTCCGTTCCGCTGTTGCCGAACAAACAAATTGTTCCTCCGGCGTCCCTGACTGTAAGCCTGAGCAATCAAACTGCCCCGTTGCTGCCGACACACGACATGGAAAAACCTGTGCCGCGTTACCCCCGTTTCTATCTGGCGTCCCCAACTGTACGCCCATGTCCCTGACTGTACGCCCGAGCAACGAACTAACCCATTTTTGCCAACTCACGGCATGAAAAAACGCCTGTATGCGTTACCTTTGCTTCGATCTGGCGCCCCTAACCGTACGCCGGCGTTCCTGACTGTACGCCCGAGCGCTCAACTGCTCCGATTTTTGTCAACACGTCTGCCCAATTCGCAACAATGACACGTCAATACTACGTGCCACCTCATCAATCGTCAACGAGGGCAAGTTTGTTTCATCACCCGCGGACACAATTGGAATCCTTCGAGTGGAGTTCCCTTTCTGACGTCCCTGACTGTAGGCCCGCGTCCCTGACTCTACGCCCGGGCAATCAAACTGCAATCAAACTGCCCCGTTCCTCATAATTTCCGACCCATCTGGTCTCAAACACGCACACTCATAACTCATTCTGGTCATAAAATCCTTGATTCGGAGTCGACGTCGCTTCTCTCGGGTGACTCGACCACTGCCAATACCGCTTCTCCTTCCCCCCCACCGATGGGCACTTGTCCCTCTTGTGACCGAACCCCGAGCAGTTGTCCCACTTCGACAAGTTCTTCTGATCGGTGATGCAGTCTTGAACGGGCGCGGCAGGATGCGGGGCAACTGCTTCACATTGCTGTATCAGCATCCTCGCCAAATCGTCCCCGCCCCCAACACCGGAAGCTCACCTCGAGGGATATCAATCCCTTCAGACTCCTGCGACCCCTGCTGCGACCCCTGTTGGCCTTCAGTAGGTGTGCGGCCCGGAATGCTCGACATCCCGGCTCCGCCTGACGCCCCTGGCCTTGCGCCCGGGGCAAACTGGTTGCCCCCAGCAGCGGCGCTTTCTACGCCGCTTGACTCCCTGCGTCCCCCTTCACCAACCAAAGCACCCTGGAGGCGGGGCCTACAAAACCCGCATCAGGGCGTTCCACGCCCGGCGCGCTGCTGCTCTCTCCTCCAGCAGCGCCACCCTCCCTGATGATCACCGCAACATGCAGCTCTCGGTGGCTGCTCGGCGGAACCAACACCCAAATTCCGCCGCACCTGCTTTGCTTCTTTCAGCACCACCCGCCTCCTCCTGGCCTCGCCCATCCGACTCGGCCCGCAGCAGCGATGGCAGCGTACCCATCATCTCCTTCATCCTGGCTCTCGTCTCTACTCGAGCCCCAGGTCTAAACATGCGCATCATGACACTCAGTAAGGTGCTTTCCACCGGACACACACCCACCCCCTTGCTGCTGCGTCACCACACCCGGCTGAACTCGGAAAATCAAGGGCGCCTCCGGAGGACACATTCTAGAACGTTTGCGGATGCCAATGTTGTGTGAGCTCAAGAATCCAAAGAAGGGTGTTGATAACCGAACGCATAAGATCGTAGGGGCGTCATCAGCGAGGAGGAGTGGGAGAAAGGGCTAGAAAGAAGGAGCGCAAGGCCAGAAGCAGTCGAAAGGGGGCCCGCAACTCGTATCTATCCCAATGTCTCTCCTAGCATGTCCCTCAGTTGACAAGGTCAGTCCCATGTGCGATATACGAAAGCGCCAGTAGTTACAGAGTATCGGAACAATCTGACCAATCTACCTCCACGCACGAATACGGGGGACTCTGTCGCGACACCGGTTTGAGAGTTCCAGCGTCGACAATGATGTCATCCATACCCAGGCACTCGGGACTGCGGCTGCGAGCGTGACCCAGCTACGTGAAAGGTCCATGGCGTTCATACGAGAGATGAGATATGTGGAAAAAAGTGCTGCCGATGTGGTGTGCAGCTAGTTGCGTATGTGGTGTGTGGGTGTGTAAGCCCCTTCTACAACTGCTGTCGTGTGCCACAAAACCTTTGCCAACATGGCGCAGAATACCCAGAGATGCATTCCGGGCTGGGATACAAGTAAACGGCATCAAAACACCCCGACAGACAGGATCGATGTGTAGCTTCTGTCGTCCGTCAGTGACGTCCTTCGAACACCGGAATCGGCTGAGAGCACTGATAGCTGTGAGCACCGGTGTGTGTGTGACTGATGTTTGTGTCGAAATTCATGGTGAATGGTTGGGCAGCACAAGGCGGAGTCCCGCACGTCTGATCGAAACGTGCGCCCGGCACAGCGATTCGAAATGCTTTCGACGCTCCGTGTGAGATGCGGGCATTGGGATGGACAACATTTTTTCCCGCTATACGTCCTTACTTAGGCCGATTGCTGGAACGAACCTCTGTGTGTCATCCTTGACTTTTTCTGTGGATCGAGATGGATTTGTTGTGTTGAACTCCGAAGCAGCAAGCAAGGAAATGACACTGAACTCTGAGCGGCGAAGAAGCCCCGCCGCGCTTTTGTCATGAATCACCGCAAATCTACTAGCCACTCGGTGAGCGTACGCGACCTACGGACTTCTGGCGTTGCGTTTTGTGATTAACGCAGCAACATATCTCACTACTACAGAAGGGTATTAATTCTTCGTAATATCGATACACTGATCCGCGGAGCACTCGCCATCTTTTCAGTTAGTTGAGGTTCAGACGAGTGTGTTGAAGTTTGGAGTTGTTGGCTGTTTCTTGTAAGGGGCTTCTCCGGCGTGCGGTCCACTTCAGGCGTGCACCAGGAGAGAACCGTGCCCTTCAGTTCGATCGTACGCTACGATTTATCTCGACACATCTTGCCCGAGCTTTGTCCACCGATATCCAATTGTTGAATAACCCTCCAAGGGTTGGAGGTTGCTTCACTTCGCAGCGAGCATCTCAAGGCTTCCCGAGTGGTTCAGCCCCTCGCGCCACGGCTGCAAATGATCATCCACAAGCTCACCCTACATACGCACGTGATCAAATCAATTGAGGCAATGATTCGCCATTTGTAGGCAATTCCCACAGCAGTATATCCCGTGCACACCAAACGCGGATATTTTCGCGCCACCAACCTATTCTATTGATGCCCTTTGGCCAACAACATATTGTACAGTAGTCGAACCCAGTGATCTATTGGCCCTGAGTAGTGTAGGCAGTCCGGGTTCTCGTCTCCCCCCAAATGGAAGTCGGGACGAAGCAAGGTCGGGGTGTAGGCGTCCAGTTCTTTCCATCCATCCGTAGCGTTGCTCAGAAAGGCCTTTTCGAGAATGGCATTGTATTCCGGGAAGCGGCCCCACTGGTACTGGTGAGGTCCGCTCGCGACCAAGTCGAGGGCGGTATCAACATCAACGGGCCCGTCAAACGTCCTGTCGCGGTGGTCAAGCGGCGACGGTGGGGTGAAACGAAACGCGACAAGATCGGTGATCACTTCTGAGAACCTTCGTGGTGCAGGTGCAGCAGCTTGCCTCCCCGGATACGTCTTGAACGCCGCGCATGGGGTTGTCGAGCGAAATGTTTCTCCAGCACAACCGGTACAATAGATGGATGTACACCCGTACTACCGCGATGCATGTAGACTTGAGAGGTGTAGAAATGATTTTTTCCAACGCAGTCCTACGCCAGTGCGACCGAGGAGTCATTCCGTACCTTTGGGTCACCTGTATCCTCACGCTCTCACTCGTCTAGCCACGCGCACTGACCTTTCGGTGCATGTTACACCGTGCCCGGGTGGGGTGTTTCTCACGATGAGAAGAGCATCATCTCCGTGGAGACGTTTCATGGACGCCGTCATCTTCTTGCTTGCGGTCTCCATCGCCTCTTCGTACTCGTCCAAGGATCTAGGGTGTGCCCCGCTGTTGATAATCAGCGTGTCGTACTCCTTAAGGGTGTCGTCGTCCGCAAACACTTCGCACTGCGCGTTCCGTTTAGGGTTTCTTGAGTCACAGGACCCGTCCCAAAACGCACTCCGCCTCGTGGTGATGTCAAGGAAGTCGTTTCGATAAAACGCAATTTTGACCTCCCCGTTGCATGCCCCCCATTTGAGGGCGTGATTGAGGTAGTACTTGGAGTGGACCTTTCCTGACGTCGCACGCAAGACCGAAACCAGCGTTCTCACCATCAGGTTGGTGATGCTGTCCCCTGAAACCAAGGCGGCGTGACGTTGGAATGGAGGGAAACGCCCATCAGGCTGACTCCAAAGTTGAGACGGAACACGTCAGATAATCATCGATAACCCAGGTCATGCTTCAAGCGTGCATTTCTGGACTAGCCGCATGTCCACCGGGACCGGGTTCCACGGCTCAGCGATGTTCCGGTGCAAGCCAAGCGAATACAGGGCATGTCTACCAGCTTTATTCGAGAAGGCGTCTTGATGGACACAAACCAACACGGCAGGTTCGTCCCAAACGAGCAACGCAGGGCTGGCAAGTGCAGGTTGCGACTTTTGCCAAACGCTCAAGTTGCGCAACGACGGGAGGGGTTGTCTCGTGTGCACGTAGGCGTCTCACACTGGGCGGACGCCGGGTTGGAGCTCTACCATCCAGTCTATAGGGGAGATTCGACAACTGTGACCTTCAACCCACTCGAAGGCAATCCTCATTTGCTGGAACTCAACCTTACATCAGTTGCAGAGAGTCTTTTCCACTCTGTTGTTTCAAGCTTGACGTAGACATTACCAAGCTGCGTTCCTCCAACGAACGGGACAGAGATGTTGAGGTAAGCACTGACGGGGTTAACGGTAACGTCAGTTGCACATGAAACCCGCTCACCCACGAGCAGGATGCCTTTCCGCCCCTCCATAGCGCGGCAAAACTTCTCCTCGTCCACGTCCTCAAGTGAGCACTCCCCCGCGTCCCATGTGTAGTACGGCATAGGCTCCTCGCTGCCGTGGTGCTCCGCCCACGTCTGATAGCAGCTGCGTTTCTCCACCGCACCGCGAAACAGCTGGTGTCAGCACGAATACGGCTATTCAATCGTGAAGTGCTCACTTGTAAATTATTTCCACGGTCGATTGCTTCCCGGTGCAAGCTTCAAGGGAGCCAAACCCACGCGTGTTTAACTCGAGGGTGACCACCTCGTGACAGAATTCATCCCCGTTGGCACCGCCATTTTCCGTGATTTTCCGAAGCCATATGTGGCTGGTGGCGACGGCATCACCTACTTGGAACGCTGTTCTCCAGCCGACAGACAAGCAACGTCGACAGCAAAGCAGTGTGCACACACAGGACAAGCACGAACGAAAAAATATGGCAGCGATGTTTGTGACCCCACGTACATTGTCTTGGGGTTGGGGTTCATCATGTCGTCCGGGTTGGTCGGAGACTCGTTCACCCCGTTTTCGCAACGGCGCCATGAGCCGTTGGAAGGGTTGGCTGCCGGAGTAGAGTAGCACTGTGGCAACACCTCCAACTCGATACTCGGGAGGGATTCCTCGGCTCTACGAATCCGGCGACTCGATTCACCTGCTCATCGACACATTCATGCAGCGGCAACAACGTCGCGGCTGTGGGTGTGGCGGGGGGTCTCTGGCGTTGTCGTGTTGAAACACGCTTGCTTGCCATAGCAGCAAGCACCCAATGGCTCCAATTTAGATTGGGCAGCGTCGGTGTCACATCAATACCAAGCCATAAGTAACAACCATAATCGTTGTCTTTGTCAATAACTGCAGGACAAGAATAGCGTCAAATACGCGCTGGATTTCAACCGGCCATGAAGCAACCGCGTGGCTCTCCTGCCTCTTGTTGATTTTGCAGATTTCGGCCATCCCATCATCACCAAGAGGTGAGACCACGGTATTCCCTTCCTTAGAGAAGCGC